AGCTGAGAGTCGTTTTCAACATGTGATCTGAGCGCGACTTCTCGTTATCCATCGCACATTTTCAAGGTTTGACCAAAACAACTTCGAGCTTCTCAGCGTTTCATGAGCTCGGTCTAAAACTCTGGCACGAACGCCGGCGGGTGATATGCATTCCTTCAAGGAGAACCGTAGGAGTCGAAGCAGCAAATGTTGCCTGATGACTGGTTGGATGACACGTGGCTGAGGTGATACATGGAGCAGTTTGTCAGTTTTCCTGATAGTTTGTGTCAGAGCTGGTTTTGTGTGGTAGTCACAGGATCGACTCGTCCTCAGGAAACCGCAGAGAGTTACAGTGTTGCTCTTCAGGGTGGAACGGGACACTTGGTTCTGACGGAGGCGTCATCGTTTCAGTGATCCTGGCGGCTATTGTCAGCATCTGTTCGTGAGCAGTTCCTGACGAAGAACAAAAAGTAGACCGACCTGTGGATTGTGGTTTGTGTTGTTGGTTTGATAAGACATGACGACCAAAGATCCAGGAGCTGTGCTGGGCCCAGCCTGGATCTAAACACTTTAACTTTTATTCACCTCAGTGATTGTTGCACATACAAAACTGGAACAGAACCAAATGACTTCATTCTTCTTCTTTAAGCTTTTCGCTCGTCAGGCGTCTCCACAGCGAGTCATCCTCCTCCACCTCACTCTGTCCTCTGTGTCCTCTGTCCTCACTCCAACCACCTCCATGTCCTCTCTAACTGCATCCATAGATCTCCTCTTTGTCTTTTTCCTGCAGCTGCATTTCTAACATCCTTCTACCAATATACCCACTGTCCCTCCTCTGGACATGTCCAAACCACTGTCCCTCTTCTGGACATGTCCAAACCATCTCAGTGTGTCCTCTCTAACTTTATCTCCCAGTTGTCCAACCTGTGGTGTACCTCTGATGATCTCATTCTTGATCTTCTCCATCCTTGTCTCTCCTAAGAAGAACTTCAACATCTTCATTTCTGCCACTTCCAGTTCTGTCTCCTGTCTTTTTGTCCATGTCTCTGTCTCCAGACCATACAACATAGCTGGTCTCACCACTGTCTTGTAAACTTTTCCTTTGACCTTTGATGACACCCTTTTGTCTGAAATCACTCCCAAAACTTTTCTCCATCACTCCATCCTGCCTGGACTCTTCTTCACCTCTTTACCACACTCCCCATGTTCCTGGACAGTGGACCCCAAGTCCTTGAAGTCCTGCTCCTTTGTGACCTCTGCTCCTTGTAGCCTCACTGTTCCACCTCCTCCCTCTCATTCACACACATGGATTCTGTCTTACTACGGCTGACTTTCATTCAACTTCTTTCAAGTGCATACCTCCACCTCTCCAAGTTCTCTTCCACCTGTTCCCTTTTCTTACCACAGATCACAATGTCGTCTGCAAACATCATAGTCCACGGGGATTCCTGCCTGACCTCATCTGTTAGTCGGTCCATCACCAGAGCAAACAAGAAGGGGCTCGGAACTGATCCTTGATGCACTCCCACCTTGAAGCTATCTGTCATCCCTAATTAATGACTTTATTAAGAATAGTTAAAAAGTCTTTAAAATATATCTGTTTAATCACTTGAGTCCTTAATAGCGAGTCAAAAACTATACATCCAGCAGGTGTCTTAGTTGATTCATTCTTGGCTAAGAACATGAGTTGGTTGGTCCAGAGTTGTGAAAAATGTGTAGAACGTTTGTGTTCGATTAAAATGGATGAACCTCCATCAGACTGTCTGGTTGTCAGATTTCTCTAACTTGTCCTTGGAGCAGAAACCGTTTTATTTCAGTTCCATGTTGTTTAGATCAGTGGTTCCCAAACGTCCTGGCTTCTGACACATAAAGCAGTCGTGACAACAGCTTGGTACCCCCCCACCGGTTTAAAGTAATAAACTTTGCTAATAACCCAATTAAACAAGGACACAATGACAACACAAACAGTTGTAACAACTGCGACACCATTAGGACTGTTTTTATTCTTTGTAACGATTATTAAAAGACAACCTAAACATTTCTACATGTGAGATTATATCTGGAGGTTATCTGAGGGTTTTTAATCTATTTTCATGTCCCACTGTGGCGTCCTGACCCCAGCGTTTGGAACCACTGGTTCAGAGAGCCAATCAGGACCAGGAGGCCGTTGGTTTGCTTTCCTGAACGGCAGGAAGTCTGTTCTCCAGGACAGGAAGTGATTGATGTGTCGTAGCTAAAGTGTCCCAGGTGGTGAAACTGTAGCTGCTCTCTGTTGGTGTGTTCACTTAATGAACTCGTTGCTACCACTGTTTTCAACGCATCCTGGGGAGTTCCTTACATTCTAGAGGAAAACAGAAAATTAATTTTGTCTTTAGATGTAAAAGAGTGAAACAGTCAAAAGTTACTTCTAAAAATGTGAAAAATCCACACTTTTTGTATCCTGTCACAGGAAAATACTCAAAATGAGGCGACAGTGGGAAGAAACTTTTAACCCTTTTAACAGGAAGAAACTTCAAGCAGAACCAGAATCAGAATGGGCAGCCATCTGCCTCGACCGGCTGGGATTAGTGAGGACAGAGACAGACAAAAAAGAAGTGGTCCAGGTATAGTTCCTTTGGTCTTGATGTACTTCCTATGGTCTAGGTGTAGTTCCTATAGTCCAGGTGTAGTTCCTATGTTCTAGGTGTAGTTCCTATGGTTTAGATTTAGTTCCTATGGTCTGTAGTTC